TAAATATAAATTATACTAATAAAATATATTAATAAAATCTTATAAAATATGCTAATAAAATCTACTAATATAACAATATAATTTTAAAATTTTTACTCTCTTCCTTCTAAAAAATCACATAATTTTTGTCATGTCTTTAGCTATACTAATCTTTTTGCAAAGCAGCTTATTTACGCTTTTATCAGATATGATTAGTTTCAGTGAACTTCAAGTCTTTTTCCGGGCCTCTAACTCACTAGGATTATCCTTTGATCATAGACAGGTGTCATATACTATATTAGAATTGACTTTTTTTTTTTCTAAAACGAAGCACAGATACAAATACAAAGAGCAAAAAAAAATGTGAAAATATCTCAATATCAAATTCTGGTTCATTTAAACAAATAAAACCAAACAAAACAAATAATGAAAAAAAAGAAAACAAAAGAAAAGAAAACAAAAGAAAAGAAAACAAAAGAAAAGAAAACAAAAGAAAAGAAAACAAAGATAACACTATTAAACTTGTGCAGGATTGTAAAAATTATATAGTACTACAAATAAACTAGACTAAACTCTACACTAGTTATTTATGTCTATATTTAGGATGTAAAAATATTAAAAACTATCCAAGGTCGAAACTTTCGATTGCTATCTCAACTAGATTGACAGATCTTCTGCGGTGTTTCAAATATTATCACATTATTTGACACTATTCATCCCAAAGTAAACACATACATGTATACATGTTTTTTCTTTTTCAGTAGCTGTTACTGTGTCGATCTTTTGTTAGGATATGCTATTTTTCCACTTTTTGGTGAAAATTTCGTAAAATACAAAAAGTAGAGTTTGGTAGAGGATTTCAGTTTGCAGGTATCCTTAAACTTCAGTAAAGAATGTGTTGAAAACTTGTTTGTTGTTCTTCTTTAGACCAACTATTATCTAACTTCATCAACAAAAACAATGCTTTTATTAAAATTTTTTGTACAAGAACACCACCTTCTTGCTAGTTATCTTGTACAAGAATGCTTTTAACTTACATGCTGAATATACAGAGAAGTCCTGGATAAGTTGCAAAAATCGTAACCTCTGTAAAAACCATTATTATATAGTTGTCTCTTCTACTTTTCTTCAACAAGTTTCTGTTTTTGGTAGCCATAAGTTTGGTACGAGTGATCATCAAGGAGAGTTGTGAAGTATTTTTTGATTGATAGTGCTATAGTATTATAAATTACTGTAAATCCTTTAAATATTAATAAAAAATTTTTATTTAAATCTTTTAAAACTTAAAAAATATAGATCATAAATATATTTATAAAAATTTTCCAGGCAAATTTGCCTGGAAAAGCCTACAGATTAGGGATAGTCTTTTTTGAAACAAAAATATAGAATAAACTGTTTTCAATAAAAATTTGTCATGTCAATTGCAAATGTATATCAGCTGATTTTTGGAATTATTGATACTTTTGTAGTAAATAATTTTTTGATTATTTTACCATCAGAAAACCGCATTGATGAAACGATTTCAACAAGTTCAAAAACGATTACAGGATCCCGAGATTGTTAAGGTTTAGTGTCTTTCGGGTGTTTTAGGACTTGTTTAACCAATCCTAAATACCCGAAGTGGCACAAACCTTAACGATCTCGGGGTCCTGCGATTGGATTTTAGTGTAGTTGTTTTTGGACTCGCCGGAATCGTCTCATTAATGCGGTTGTTGGTGGTAAATTATGCAAAGTTATATATTAGTATTAATAATTCCAAAAAGCGGTTGATATGGATAGAATTCATCGTAAATATAATCTGTCTTGCATCATGTGATCCTTATTTAATTACGGTCCAATGTCAATATATATGCAATATATATAACATTTAATTAAGTTAATACAATTGTCAATTCACGCAAATGTGTGTCACAATTCTTACAACCGTGGCTAATTTGAAATTTTTTGTTAACATTGTAAATCATTCTATGTAATACCGTGTTACGGAAAACTATCTTCCGAACCCCAACAATTGCAAATTCAACCCTTTTAAAAAACATTGGGAAATTCGAATATCTTTTTTTTTTTTTTTTTTACCATCTTAATTCAATTAACAATCTAACTTTGCAACAAGAAAATACAAGTTTTTTATTTCTAAAAAATGGCAAATTCAAAATTAAAAAATCGTACAACTACCTCTACTAAATCTACCGAGTCTTCACCTTTTACACCAGATAGTGACCAAATTAGCCTGATCTTTTCAGCTAAATATACATTCCCAGTCAAAAAATCAAACATAAATTACAAAACGTTACCAACATTCATTGATAATACTTTGCGATATTTGAATACATTTAATTATCCTTATGAAATGTTTTATGTTGAAGACGGAAAGGAGATTGCGGTTAAATCGAAAAATTCGGATCCGATGAAGGTTTTGAAAGGACTTTGTGAAAGTGACATGAATATTGATAAAGTCTATTTTATTGCTGATAAGGAGGTATGAAAAATAGATTTTATAACTTTTTTCATATTATGTATATATCATTCATTATCCTTTTATGATATAGGGTGGAATCACAACTTTTTTATACTACAACGTTGACTTCATGTTACTTATTGTATTAGTATCATGTCTCACTTGGTTGACTATCACTGGGTCTTACGAATCCCAGATGGCGTCATGCTTTTTTGGAATTGTCTTAGCTTTGAGAATGTTTAGATATCTAAGATAAAATCAATAAGTGCACTATATTAGGCCACACAAATTTAATATATTGGTTTTCATAACATGAAACTTTTAAACAGACCGGCCGGCCGGCTTTTTTGTTTTAAATTTCATATATAAAAATTTATAAAAATTTTTTAAAAATTTTTTAAAATACCCACCCGGTTATTAAAACATACAAAAATTTTTTTTTACAAATTTTCAAATTTTGACCCGGCCGGGTTATGAAAACCAATTAATTAAGTTTGCATGGCCTTAATGCTTTTATATAATATTTAATGTAATTATCGGGTTATAAGGTATACATTAGATTCTTGTAATATTAATTTTATTTATTTTGCTCAAGGTTTTAGCATAAATTTATTATTAGTGAGGAATAAATAAATTACTGTATGAATGTTCTTTATATAATTACATACATAATTTGAAGAGATTACGGTAATATATAGCTATAAATAACACAAAGCAACATAAATAATACAAATATTGTAATTATATATGAAATTTAAATAAATGCATATTTGGTAAATTTTTTACTTTTCAGCCAAGGCAAGAACAGAAGGCCAAGTAATTTTTAAAATCTGGTCATCCTTCCATTCTTCATCCTTCTTAATTTCCTCAAACAACTTGTCAATTGGATCTTCTATTTTCTGGTTTTCTTTTTGATACTTGGACATATAATTTTTGTAGGAACTCCAAGTCTAAAAAACAAACCAACCATATATATATGTATATCTTTATATATATATATATATATATATTTGAAGAAAAAAATTCAAATCGATATTTCTTAAAACTCACCTTCATATAGTTTTTCAATCGATCAACACTCCATTCCTGATTTACAAAACTTTCACCATTCTTCATTTTTCCTTCCTTCTCGTCAAATTCATGCCTTTCCCAAATAATATTTCTGAACAATTCATCAGGAATCACAATATCTCTATACAAATTTTCTATTACTACTCTTCCCTGATCCCAATAATTACCCATTGTCTTTGATCCAAATTCTAACATTTTTTTCGAAGCTGTTGGATACCCATCGACAACATGATACCCATATCCCCATATGGCTAATGTTCCACTTTGTTTTAAAACTCTCCATGCTTCTTTAAAAAACATTTCTCTATCGAACCAGTGAGCTGCTTGGCCCACTGTCACTAAGTCAAATGTCGAATCTTGGAATTGGGAAAGATCTTCGGCAGAGCTAACCGAATATTGAATATTTGGAGAACTAGAAGCAGAAGAAAGCATATTTTGTGATATGTCAGTAGCATACACTTGTTTAAAGGTTTTGGATAGTTCTTTGGCAATGTAACCGGTGCCAGTCGCAATATCTAAGGCGGTGGAAAAAGATGAAGAATGTGATGCATGGTAAGCATAAACTTTTGAGTAGAGGTGGGTCGAATACCTGAATTTAGGATGTAAGAAAAAATTGAAAAGATTAAGTTTGAAATTTTATTTTCGATCTGCTCAAAAATTAACTAACATTGGACGATAAGCATCGTATGCAGAGCTATTATAATCAGGATCAGCGAAAGTAGTGGACTTTTCTTTAGCAGAATTAATATTATTCGTGGTAGACATTGCAGGAAATCGAATTAAGTAGGAGGTAATTCTTTTTAAACTTGTCTTTATGGTATAATTCATAGATAATTATATATGAAAACTCAATCTACAGTCATATACGTATACAGTTATATATATATACAGTCAAGCTTCTCTTTATATATATAACATTCAATATTGTGTGCATTTAATTTGCATTATTATTGCATATGATTTATTAGTAATCTTTAAAATAATTTAGTCATTATTTTTAGTGAGTCATTTGTGACAGGTACTATGTATTACCTAACTAAGAACTTGTAATAGAAATGATCAATATACAACGATTAACATCCCTCTATAAACAACTCTTATTGTTGAATATGAGGATACGTATCATTTACAATTAGCAATGTGACCATAGCTCTGAAAAACATTATTATTAAATTCAAAAAATAATTACGAAATTAAAAACTAATGAGTCGCACAAATGTTATCAACTTTTTTCCAAATTATAATTAATGATTGTTCTTTGCTAATTGTTAGAAACAAGCATCTTTAATCATAGATCGTATTTTCCATATACGTACGTACGTATATACACGTATATATCAGATATATAAGACGTTGAAGGGGTTACGGGTAAACTTCTCATTACTCCGATTTGGGAATCTAGTTAGCGGTAATACAAAACCATTTTGGGAATAATAATAATTAGGGTACGTAATACATTGTACGTGCGTCTTTGTGAGATTCTTGATTTTTAATTCAAGAGACTTTTATTATTATGCCATTCGATTCCTCTCGCCGAGAGGAATCGAGTAATGCAAAAATCACGAATCCAATCACTGGTTACAAGAGATCCTAACTCGTCACAATATCTCGTGACTGGTAGTAATTGGATTCGAACAATTTTTCATTATTCGATACTTCTCAGCGAAAAGAATCAAATGATAAAGAACAAAATTGTACATTGTCTTTCCTAGTCTTTTTTTTCATCTTTATCTCGTAATTTAGTGCTTGGATTCGAGTGAATTTTGCACCATTCGAAAACTTTCAACGAGAAGGAATTCAAATTTGTCAAAAGATCATTCTTCGAATTCTTAATGCTCTCAAAAATTTTTTAACGTTCTAAATATAAGAATAATTTTTCTTAAAAAAATTTGTAAATGTTAGTTAATTCATATGTGTTCTCTAAGAACTCTGGGAACTCCAAACTTCAAACGCTGACCTGGTCACGAGATCACAATATACCCTTCACTTGTCACATAAAAAAATATATCACTGTTTTTAGAAATTTCACTATAAATGTTTAATTTTTGGGTAATAAATATGTCTTAATTAGGGATAGATCATTTAAAAAAACAACCAATTAGCGAGATTATTAAACCTGAACATCAAAATATTACGACATTGTGCTGTAAGCGGTTTTTCGGACGCCAAAATAGATAAATCAGCACTCTTGGATTCTCGATCAGCAGATTCCTGATAATAAATGAAAAAAATTGAAAAATATTAAACAAAAAAATTTTTTTTTCGATAATTTAAAAGATTACATTTAGTGGACGACTGTCTTTCTTTAAGCACACAGATAACAATGTCTTTCAGAAACAAAAATTTTTATAATGTGCTCGACCGATTAATTCCTTCTGATATATTAAATCAGGGTAAATTAAGAAAAATTTTCTTTTTGAAATCATGTCCCAAGAAATTTATCGTATTTTATGATAGCCTTTTTTTAAACCATTAACGAAAGTTTAGACTATGATAAAGATTATTTGGCTCGACGTAATTTATTGCAAGCGCGTGCCGTTATTATTGTTACAGTTTCAGTATGCATCGCTCTTCTTTTACAACTCCTAATGGATATCTATCTGATATTACTTAATGGATCAATAAATCAATCTGAATTTCCGTGGCCAATTACTTTATTCGGTACTACTCTTTATGTTGGTAGGTTGATTACATCGTCGCTATTATCAATGTTGCTATTGATTTCTTGATCCCAATGTGCTTTATCGTGATTTTTTGACCGGACTGCGCCATTCTCTTGTCGCTACTTTGTTCGCGTTATGTCGATAGCCATGTTATATTCTATACCGACCAGCAAAATAACAATTGTGCAAGCTGCCAAATTTGGTGTTTATTTTTTTTTGATAATATCTATATATATCTCTTGTCTTGAGAATGGTATGTTTTTTCATAATTTGTATTTATTATTATTATTATTATTATTATGAAGTTCTCAATGTCTTATGGTTTTTGTATCCAATTATAAAGGATTTCAAACCTTAAGTCACGCAAACTTTTTTGCTGTTCCTCCTTTCGGGTATGTTTATTCCATCGATGTGCTATGTTGTATCCTATTCATATTAATTAATAATTTATGACTTGTTCCCTTTTTTTTTAAAAAAAAAGATATATATTTGTTTCCAAGAGTTTCGGAAGAAAGACCACAATTATAGTTTGTGTGATATATGTGATTTCGTTTTTTCAGTGAGTGTTTGTATCAATTGAATGATACCATGATTATTAGTGTGATAAGTTGATGTTAATGCGATACAAATTTTATCATATCCTTTTATTTATCTCATTTATCATATTTGTTAGATCCATTGGAAAAGAGACTCCAATATCGTTGTCAGCCACTGGTTGGGTTATTTGTGATATTTATATATTATGCTTTGTTTACTTTTTATTCGTGAGTACTTGTAAACAAATTCGCATCGTTTTTCATCAATGTAATTAATTGACTTATATACATGACTCCAAAAGGTTGCCTATGAGCAAGAATTCCAATATAATCACGAACGCATGCAAAAATCCCTGGATGAGGTATCGTTGTATTAACTGTATCTTACAAAAATATATCTGTGTCCATTTTTACAAGTATAATCCGTTTTAATTTAGGCGAGGTCCGCAGAAACCGCAAAGTCCATGTTCATTTCCAATGTCAGTCACGGTAAGAATTTATGAATAATCGTTGATGTTTTTGATTTTATTGTAAATATAAATCTCGGTGATTTGTGTTATTTAATTCATAATGTTATACAAATGCTTTCATTCATAATATTATGTGAATGCTATGCATAAATACGCATATTGTTTATTTTTCAGAATTGCGAACGGTATGTCTTGCTTAAAATTCAATTCATCCTATAATGATGAATTAAAACTAATTTTTAATGCTCAAACATTTTATCATTGAATATATTGATAAGCCTTTGCATGGTGAGGAAATATTATCAAATTAATTATTCCGGAATTAAGACGATTTAAAAAAAAAAAAAAGGCTCTCGTTTAGATATTTTAAATCGATCTGTAGTTTCATAAATTTGATTTTTAAGTTAAGAAACCGGCGTAATTTGTTGCCCTGATAGGTATACTCGCGACCGTTGAAATTTTGTCAAATACAAAATTAAATGAATCTCAACGCGCATTGCTAAAGGCCATAGAAAGTTGTGGAACGAATTTAATCTCGGTTTTTTTTTCCCCTTATTCCTTTTATTTAAGTGATAATTTCATTCTTGGCTTTTTTTATAACACCATTATTTACAACTATATAGGTAGTTAATCAAGTATTGACATACGCAAAAATTGAACATGGCAAAATGGAACTAGTAATTTTTAAAATCAATATATATTTAAACAATCACTACATTCTTGTACTAACTAAGATTTGTGGCAAAGGAAAACAAAACATTCGATATTTATTCAGTAATGCAAGAAATCGGGGATGGTTTGTTGAAGTATTTTAATCACTTTTTTCTCTTTCTCTCTCCCTCTTTTTTTTTTTTTTTGGTTTAAAAAAAAAACTTGAATCTTTTTTTAATGAATAGCATTGGCACCAATTTCTGAGCGGAAAAAACTGAATTTCGATATATATATAAAAATGAACCCGATGCATAGATTTCTTGTTGGGGATGTTGGAGTTTTAAGGCAAATCATATTGAATGTAATTTATCTTATTTTATTTACTTTTCTTTTTTTGAAAGTACTTTTCGTGAAAAAAAAAATAATAATAAAATAAATTGATTTCATGTGGATAATGTTGATCTAATGATAGCTTCTTGGAAATGCCGTACGTATAAAGGTCTATTAATTAGATCGAAAACATAGAAAATTTGATTCTTATCATTTTGTTTAATCACAGATTAAGTTCACTGATGAAGGAGATGTCGAACTAATTACTGTCGAATTAACTGATGAAATTGAGTCTATGCAAGATAATAAAAAAAAGATTTCATTGTCATCCGAAAGTGAGGTTAGAGATAGTGATGAATATAATTCAAAATTAGAAAAAATTAAGTTTCGAATAGAAGTAACTGATACTGGACCCGGAATTGATCCTGATTTTATGTGTCATATGTGTCGACCGTTTTCTCAGGTTTGTTAAAACTCGTATTATAGTTGCATTAACTTTTTTGTAAACTAATCTTTTAGAAATAGGAAGACTCATCTTTGCGTAGAAAATTTGAGGGAACAGGACTAGGTCTTAGTATCGTTAAAGGTAAAAGAATATAATAGTTATAAAAAAAAAAGAAAGAAAAATTAACAAGTCATTAAACAGGTCTGCTGGATATGATGCATAGCTGTATAGAAGTTGAATCAAATGTTGGAGTAGGCAGTAAATTCTCTTTTGTTCTAGAACTTCCTTTATCTCAAAGATGGGATTCCCTTGTCCCTTGCCAATTCCCATTTGATCATCAATTTCTACTACTTTCCTACGAAAAACAATCACAATTGATATCTTATTCACGGTCTTTATCCTTTGCTGTACTGAAATCCGAAAATACTGAATTCCTGCGACGAATAACACATTATTTGGATCAATGGGAATTTAAATATCGATTGATAAAAAAGGAAGAATTGAGGGCTGAGTTTGAGAAAGAGCATGTGGACGTTGTGATTTTAAATGATAGTCTTAGTGATTTGGAGTGGTTTTTGGACGAGTTTGTACAATTTTATAAACCTGTGAAAGGTATTAAGGAAGGAGGTGACGAAAATGTAGGGCGAGAGCATAAGGATGAGAAGAAACAACGAATAGTGTTCTTTTCAACGATTGAAGATTATCAAAATGCGGAGAATATATTACAAAAGTATAAAGTCCGATTTGCTGTTGTTATATCGAAGGTAAAAACAAATAAAAATAAAAATAAAATAAAAACAAACAATTGGATTGAAAATTATAAAATGAATACAATTGTTTCATAATTATTTTATATTACTAATAAATCATTATTATTATTGAAAAGCCAGCTGGTCCAGTAAAAATTTTAACGGCCATAACAAAAGTGATAGAATCCTTACTTTCTCCTACATCCGAAAATGTATGCGTGATAAAAGAAGAACCTGCTGTATGTAATTACGTTCAGACACAAGAAACATGCCTAGGAAGTGAACTATTATTTTCACCAAGTATGTACGGATCAGCGGCTGATATGACTGAAGAGTTTCCGATCGGTGTTACCGAAAAAGCTATAGCGGGCTCGGTTTCTAGTGTGGGTGATGTTACTACGAGCACGGAATATACTGAAGTAAAATCGATTAAAGAACAACCCTCAGAGGTTGAGGAAATTTATGAAAAGGAACTTTTAAAAAAAGGCAAAGAGAAAGAAACTGAAGAGAAAAAGTCTCTGAAGGATATATCTTTCCTTGTCGTTGAGGTTGCGTTTCTTTATGTCAAGTACTTTAATTACTTTTATGCACAAGCATTATTGACCTTTATTTTGATTTATGACTCTTATAGGATAACAAGGTTAATGCAATGATTTTAAAAACAATGTTAAGACAAGCTGGATTTAATAATTACGATGTAGCTACTAATGGGCTTGAAGGTCTGTTATTTAATACTTTTTAAAAACATTTCTTTAATGGTGCTGAGTTTTTTTTTCTTATTTACAAAACAGCGGTTCAAAGATTTTCTAAAAAATTATATGATATAATATTTATGGTGAGTTTTGCGTGAATTAAATGACCGAATAATTATAAGATTGTAATATATATCGTTTTTTGATAGGATTTACAAATGCCGATTTGTGATGGGGTACGTTTACATTATTATAATATGTACGAAATGAAATGAACTTTGTCATTTACTTTTGTTCTTTAATGTATAGATTGAAGCAACGAAAGAAGTAGGCTCTTCATGATTAATAATTTGACTGTTTTTTTTCATTACTTTAAACTTATCAAAACTTGTTTGTTTTTACAAAGATTCGAAAAATAGAGAACGGCGAAGAATCATATTTGATATCCGAAACGATAAAAAGTTCCGATCTGCCTTCAACAAGTCATTATGGGAAACGTCGAAAAAAAGCTATTATTATAGCGATGACTGGACTTGCCTCTGAAGTACGCACGAAAGAATTTCTTTGAAGATTTTAGTATTGATCTAATTACTAATTATTGGTGTCATTTTTTTACTATTTGGGAATATAGGAAGATAGTGAAGCTGCGGTATGGAATTGGTTGGTCAAGGAGGCTAACAACTTTGATAAATATAGGTTAATTTACATTATTATTCTGTTTTATACGATATAGGAAGCAGCGGGATGTAATGAATTTTTAACAAAGTAAAGTTTATAGGTGTTTCGCAAATAATTTTTTGTAAATATCATTATCATTAAATACTAATATTCAAATCAAACAAAAAAAAAAAAAGACCTGTATCAATAAAAACTCTGAGTTCGCGTATGGAATGTTGGACGCGTGATGTACTAGAGTCAGATGCCAATGAAAACATAGAACAGACAAAACCACAGGAAGAAAAAGAACAGCAACATCCACAGGTGGTTGAGGAAGTAGTCGGTCAGCCGCAAAAAGAGGTGGAAATGAGATCAGAATCATCATTAGTACCATTAAAGCCAATATAGCCTTCGTTTAAGGTGATTATGTACGAACATACGTATGTATAATTTTAAATATGTAAGAATATATAAATGCATGCACATGTATATGTATTTTAGACATTAAATATTACGCAATGATAAGAGAATAATTAGTTTAATAATTTCATTTCGTTTTCACGTATATATTCAACAAATTTAAAATCTTATGTGATGGACTGTAGGTTTGTTAGATTCTTCATTTACAAATTAACAGTATGTCTTAATATTATAGGAATTAAAGCGATACACGTAATACACATCTGTAGTAGACCGATAAATCTTTAAAAAATTATGTCAGATAAATTATACTGAATTTTTATATTATGCTCAGAAAATCGGTTCATAATTTTGAATAATTATATTAATTTTGCAAAAAAAATGATAGTACGTACGTACTGTATGTAGAATGCAGTTTTGATTTTTCAGATCTAGAGCTTGGACCCGTGAACCCCTTATCCGGATATCCGTTCAAGGAAATTTTTTGTTAAGGCACGAAAGGTGGCAAAAATACCGTTCCTGATGGATTGTCGGTATTGTTCCTGATAGGGTGGGAAAACCCCCCGATTTACATACCGTTCATGATTGGGTTCTAAAAAAAAGGCTCCAAAATACTATACCGATTGGGTGAAAAGTCTTTAAACAGGTCCCTGTTTTTTTAATTACTAAGAACATCATTCAGACATTTATATAATTAGTAATCATTGCAAAATTTTCGCAAATTGTATGTATAGATCTTAACGGAGATAGTAAAAAGGGATTTTTTAGAGACTTTTCCCCATCTGGTATAAAAATAAATATCAGCGGAGATAGAACAAAGTCCCGTTTAGATGATCGCTTCTAAATCTATCTTTGATCTACTTAACGCAAAAAAAGAATGCTTTCAAATTTTTTTTGATAACGTAACGTTTTACTAATAAAAAAACGCGACTAAATAAATATCAAGGATATATTAGAGATTATATCAAATGCCGATTTATGCTAAGTACATGGTTAGTGCGGTTACGCTTTTAATAGGATTGAGTGATTTGCAGTTGCGAAAGAGGCAAACAGCTAAATGTATGTGAAGATACAGATAGTCGTATTAACAAGTTTACAGTTTATTCAACAGGGTTCTAGAGTTGTTTGTGTATGAAGACACTATAACGGAGTTAGGATTTTATTCGAGCGATCCGTGTGTGAAGACACGATTACTCTTTAAGGA